CCCAAGTTTTTCTTAGCTCACAAAGATTCCCCAGGTAAGTGTTGGTTGGGTAAAAGCTCATCCGCCAGTAGTTTCTCAGGAAGGGCACATTCAAAACTATTTTTTTATTCTTTAACATATGAAGGATTACTTGGCTAGATATAAAATTGATTTGTACTTTTTTAATTGTGTAAAATATACATATAATTTGTTATCTTCATCATTTTAAGTGTGCATTTTAAATCATGTTACATATATTCATATTGTTAGGCATCCAATCTCCAGAGCATTTTCATCTTGCAAAACTGAAATTGTGTACCCATTAATTACTGTGCCCAGTAATTCCCTACCTATTTCCCTCTCCTGCTAGCCCTGACAACTATCATTCTGCTTTCTATTTCTCTGCATTTGACTACTGTAGGCAATATCTGTCTTTCTCTGACTAGTTTACTTCACTTAGTGTAATGTCTTCAAGTTCATCCATGTTGTAGTGTATGTCAGAATTTCCTTACGTTTTAAGCCTGAATTGAATAATATTCCATTGTATGTTTATTCCACATTTATCTGTTCCTCTGTTGATGAACATTTGGATTGCTTCCATCTTTTGGCTATGATAAATAGTGCTTCTATGAACATGGGTATACAAACAGCTCTTCCAAATCCCTGCTTTTCTTTTTTTTTTTTTTTTGGATAATACCCAGGAGTGAGATTTTCAATTTTTAAGGGACTTACGTACTGTTTTCTATATAGCTATACTATTTTACATTCTCCTTAGTGGTGTACAGGGTCTGTTTCTCAATATCCTGACAAGTTTTGACACTTGTTATTTTCTCGGTCTTTTTTTTAATAGTAACCATTTTCTGCTTGTCTTCTAATAATTGTACACCTTTTCATTTAAATATGTGATCCATTTCTAGTTAATTTTTGTATAAGGTGTAAGACTTAGGTCAGAGTTCTTTGGCGGGGGGCAAAAGGGATTGTTGTCCAATTGCTGCAGCACTAGTTGTTGAAAAAGCCATCTTTAATCAATTGAGTCTCTTGAACCTTTGGCAAGATGTATTTGCATGGCTCTTTCTGTTTTCTGTTCTCTTCCACTTACCTATGTATTTATCCTTGTGTTGGTACCACACTGTCTTGATTAGTGTCAACTATAGAGTAAGTCTTAATATCAGACAATGTGAGTCCTCCCATTTTATTTTTCAAAACTGTTTAGCTATTCTAGATCTTTTGCTTTTCCAACTAAATTTTAGAATTGTCTATAGAAACAGAGAAAAAAAGAACCTGTCAGGGTTTTTAAGGGAAATGAGTTGAATCTGTAGGTCAGTTTGAAAGTGACTTTACCATCTTTAATATGTGACTATTCCAGTCCATGAACACAGAATGTCTCTACCTAAGCCAAAATCAGCTATTTTTCACCACAAAAATCCTATATGTGTTTTGTAGTTTACACATAAGTGTTCTTTCCTTTTTTGGAATTATAAATGGGGTAGGTACTGTTTTAATTTTCAGGTTTCTGGATGTTCACTGATAGCATATAGAATTGATTTTTGTGGTTGATCTTATAGTCCGCAATCTTACTGAACTTGTTTATTAGTTTTAGGAGCTTTTTTGTAGATTCCTCAATATTTTCGAGTCATGCCATTTGCAGATAAGAACAGGTTTTTTTCTTTATATGCTTATTAATTTCTTTTTTATTGCTAATTGTAATCATTAGAAATTCTAGTGCTATGTTGCTAGTGTTTTAAGCTTTAAAAAATGGTTTTGATAAAGCTTTATAGAAGCCTTAAGGATTATTAATATATCATCAAACAATAAACCAATACAGAATTAGTTCTAAAAAATTAAGTTTTATTTTCTTGGTTTCAAAATACAATATACTGAGATGCCTGGGCTGGCTTAGGTAATAGAGTGTACAACTCTTTATTGTGGGGTTGTGATCTCAAGCCTCACATTGGGTGTAGAGCTTACTTAAAAATAAAAGATAAACGCAAAATACCACATACTTATTCTTGCTAATTCTACATAGCTTTAAATATTTTCTTTATTCTTTTTACAAGACCTAATCTGATGTTGGTATTTTACCTCATACAGGAAAAAAAAAAAAATTAACAAATCAAAATTGTTTTTCTTTTTGTACAAGTCATGTATTATTTTTTTATTTAGGGTTCTGAACAAGGTTCAACCGGTCAAGAACAGGCCTTATCTGCTCAGCACGCTGCTGTTATTAACCTTGCTGGAGTAGGAAGTTTTATGCAGTCACAGGCAGCTGGTTGGTATCTTTATACCTTCATATGTTACTAAAAATAACTGATCATTTAGGGATCTCAGTGTTATTTCTTTTCCTTCTCTTGCAGGCAGTAGCAGGAAAAAATACGGTTCTATTTAATGCATGCACTATTGATTTTGATGGCCCTAAGATTTTTTGTTGTTGTTGTTAATTTGACAGTTGATTAAAAGGGTTTTTACTTTCATATAAATAGTAGTTGGGTTTTCCTCACATTACAGTTGGCAGAATTTTATACAATTATCCAGCTTACTACAAAGCTACAAAGCTGTTAAATCTTCAGTTCTCCTGGGTTGAGACTGCCTTTTTCTTGATTCCATAATCTTTTATCTCCTTCTGGTAGCTTGCATTTGCATGAACCAAGACTTACTGGTCAGCTTAACTTTTATAACCCACTTTTATCATTTGTAATATATATATATGTATATATATATATATATATATATATATATATATATGCTAAATGCTCACCACTTCCAGCAGTAAGTGGTGAGCCAAAGAATTACCTTTAATGAAGGTATCTTGTCATTTAAAGACAATAATCATAACTTAATATTTAATTAAAGTCACTAACCACGTGTATAAGTAAGTCATGATAGTTTGAAGATTGAGTGGACAATGTCAACATTTTGAATTATCACTGGACTTACTGTCCTAAACAACTCCCAGTGTCTGAATTTAGAATAAGCAAGGTCTTGCATAATGCCGTATTTAGAGCTGGTGAATTTCCAAATATAAATTTGTGATCATAAACCTTTACCACTGGAGTTATAAAATCTCCTAAAATGGCTGTTGTATATTTTAGTGGAAATTCTAGGCTAAAAAGTAATGAGAATGTTTCTAGCTCTAGACCTGCCAATAATTCTTTTGAGTGTGTCATTCAGACCATCTCTGGCCTTTGCTTGGAATTTTTTTCATCTGTATGTTGAGAAGGTTAAACTGATTACTCTGGTCCCCTTCAGCTCGAAAAGAAATGGAATATTGCAGTTTCATTTTACTACCATTGTTGGCTAGTAGTAGTCTAGTCTGGAACTCATCACAGCATCTTTTGTTTAAAGCACTTGTCTACCAGTTTTGTCATTATGGTAGAATGGACTTCTCCCACTTTTCCTTACTTCATTGATTATATTTTAAAGCATCATGCTGTTATTTACATTTTGCCAGAAAACCTTCTCAGCAAAATAGCAAATTTCATTGTAATGCAAGGAGGAGGGATACAGTGCTTTGGTACACAGGCACTCCCTTCCCTTTCATATTCAGGAGGTTCAATCATCAGTGGTACCCTCAACTAACAGGAGACTATACTAAATTTATCCTGAAATGTCTGTGATTTGATACTTAAGATTAATCATACTGATAACTTTTCTATTATTTCATTTTCTGTGTTGTCCTTTTCTAACCCTGGTAGCCTTCAAACTTTTTGACTGGCCTGCTTTCCCCTTCTCCTCTCTGTAGTGTTGTCTCAGCTTGGCTCTGGCGAGAACAGACCTGAGCAAAGCCTTCCTCAGCAGAGATTCCAGCTCTCCTCTGCCTTTCAACAGCAGCAGCAACAGATACAAGTAATCCAGCAACTTCACTCTGATTACATTTTTAAAGATACTCTGCTCCAAAAGTAGTTCAACATACCTTACTCTAGTTTTATTTTACTGTCCTTTAAGACTATATAGTAGTAGGTAAATAATTTAGCAAGTTTTACTTAAAAGTCTGACATTTTAGCCAGTCATCTTGGAGCACTGAACATATTTTGTACATTTAAGCCATACTCTTTCCTAATTTAAAATCTTACATGAAGTGCTGGTGGCACATTAACATACATTTTTCAGTTTCCAGTATTTTTTGAAACAGATAGTTATAAGTGCCAATGGTTAGCTTTTTGATATTGTACTGCAGATAAAGGCAAGTATATCAGTGTTCCTATTAGTAAATGTCATACCGGTTTTAGAAAAATGTTATTCCATGATTGTAGGAAGTCAGCATTTTATGGTTGACTATCTTTGATATGCAGGGTGGTTTTATATTGCTATAAACTATCATACAACAAATAGTAACTGAAGTTGCTGAGTTACTACAATATAGATTGGCAGGGCAAAGTAACAACCATTTTTGAAGTTCACCAAGAACCCATTTTTAAAGCCCTTAGCAGGCTTCTGTGCCACTGGTGCTGTTTGACTGTGCGTTGTCTCAGTGTGGTATAGTCCCTTTTTGTTATCTTGGTGCTTTTTCTCCCTTTCAGTTTTGTTGTTTTCATCTCTCAGGAAAAGCACCCTTCCATACCTGCCTACAATTAATGTAACCTTGACTTTTCCCCCCCTCCCTTTTGCAGCAGTTGCGATTCTTACAGCATCAAATGGCTATGGCAGCAGCAGCAGCACAAACAGCTCAGCTACATCGGCATCGGCATACAGGCAGCCAGTCAAAAAGTAAAATGAAGAGAGGCACGCCAACCACTCCAAAATTCTGAGTCTTGCTTATTTTTTTTTCTCTTTTTTAAAACCATAAGAGCATTGAATCAAAGGATTCTTGAGTTTCTACTTCATTTTTTTTTAAATGTCAGTATTTTACATTGTGAGATGTACAAACTTTATACAGAAGCACAACCCTATGATTTTTAATTAAAAACAGGGAAATGGTCTAACAAACCATTAGGGTTGGTTTGCCTAAGTCATTGCTTTTTAAAAAGTGGTCTCACTGTACATACTACATATGGAAGTGACCTAAGAAAAATACTAGAAACATCTTTCTGAAGAATGTAGTTTGATATTTATTTAGTATAAAAGGTTTGTGCACAGTGTAAGAAATACAGTTTTTACAAATCCGTTTTGAAAATGTGGTGGTTGTTTATTTGGGTTTCATACTCTTAATTACTTCATCCATCAGTTTTTTTACTTCTTTGTGTCTGGTAACTGCTCGGCTCATACAATCCTGAAGTTTAGCTCCAGTCAGTCCACTTCCACCTGAAAGATTATTGACAACACTTTTCATGTTATTTTTACTTGTAAAAAAAAAATAAACCAAGTTATAAAACAAACAATTCAATAATGTAAGCCAGTGAGACTGTCTCAAGATTTGCAAGTTCTTTTTTAACAGGCCCTCAAGTGATTCTAATGCATACCATAAGTTTAAGAACCACTGGTAGACAATATAGAAAAGTAAGGAATTTGAGATAACAAACTGCAGTAAACTTGTATTAGGTAAATAATAAAACCTCACATTCTATTTGGCCTTTCCTAATACAAAGAAGCTCACAATGAGTTTTTAATTTTACATGTATAGGGTTAAAATGAAAGGAACATGCCTGGTTTGTGAAGACAACATAGCTTGCCTTCCTCATCCATTACTACTGTTAAGGTTCCAGTTGCCAGATGTTCCTCCTCTCCAGTAGGATCAACTATGAGCAGAGTGCTATTTAAAATACAAGAAAAACATAAATTACCAATCTATGAAACAAATTTTATTTTACAAAGAATAAAAATTCTGGCCTAGTATTAGATGTCAGATTAACCTAGTATTGATGACAGAATAGAACTGGTGGGAAACCAGAAAAGTTAATAGCAACTTAACATTCTACTACTTGTTCTTACAAGTAGGGCAAATCTTCTTTGCCCTTCGATTTATGAATATATTAAAGTCCTTGGCAAATACAGAAGATAGCTTAAGGTAAATCTGTGAAATATTGAAGATTAACATTAGGCAGGAATAAGAAAAACTGGGAAAATAAAAATTCATCATAAAGTCAGGACAGTTTTGAAAGTATAAAGGTTATTAGCTAATAATAACTGCAGGGACAACAGTTACAAACCTAGATGTCCAGGGCAATCTAGGATGTATGGTTACCTTAAGCATTTACTGAAAAGTAAGAAAGCAGAGTAACAATCCATTACCTTAATTACATAGTTTTTAAAATACATTTGATTAACTTACTCATCAAATACAGCAAAGGAAGTTGCAACTGGATGAGTTCTAATATTCAAGTAACTTTTCTTCTTTAAATTAACTTCTGCTAAACCAGTTTCTTCATTTATAGTAACTTCCGGCAGCTGTGCTAGAAAGGCAAACATATGAAATAAGTCTCACTCTAAACAAATACAGGTTTCTATGCTTTACACTTTTTTCTGCTTAGATTGTTTAGAAGTATTTTTTTTAATTATCTTAGGATAATTAAGGTAAATTTAGTGGCTATAAACATTCTTTTTCTTTAATTTAGAATTTCATGATCGATCGATCACTATTAACTAAAACTTTAAAAAGTGTATTGATAAAGTTTAGCAAACAATATTAAGGTTGCTTACCATTTTTTAAAGCTGCTAACAAAGCAAATGTACAGGCATCCAAGATGTTCCCATCATAGTCAAGGCAAATGATATCACAGTACAGAACCCAAGAAAGCTAGAACAGAATTTATACAAAATACGAATTAAAGCCTTCTGATGGGTAGAACATGGTAATTGTTTCAGCCTACAAACCACAGAATCCTTGGTTAGACAAGCATGATACCTTCAGAGCTCAAAAACTTAAAAGCTACCCTTACTTATAAAGTATATAACCAACAAAGTAGGTTTGATTTTTAAAAACTTTGGCTTTTTTTTTTTAAATTTCCAAGCTGATAAATAATTTCTAGATTTCCATCAACAGCTATAGAAGTATAAACAATTTCCATTCTTGCTAAGTTTGCAGTAAAATAAATGCTTTTTTGGAAGTCCTAAATGAAGTCCAAAATGTACTTTCCCACAAAAACCTTAATATATGATATGGCTAAGCTTTACAATGCTAATAAATCTGTATATAATGAAACCGGAAAAGCTTCTAAGTCCTAGTTAACTTAGTTCTAAATTTTAGATGTGAAATTAACAGACTAGAAATGTATACTGTGGATTTACCCTAAACACATCAGCTGATCAGATACTAATCTATACAGAATAAACAAATGACTGAATTACTGTAAAAGAGGGGGAAAAAGTTACCTCAGCTTTTTTTTTTTTAATTATTTTTTCCTCAGCTTTAAAGTCAAAAAACTTTTTCTATGAACTATATGGTTTATTTTAGATAGTTACAGAGTAAACCGGATTTTTTAACTAAATTCCATCTTTCTTAGGACGTTCATATTTAAGCCCACTGTGGCTTGTTCTTTTAATTTCCCTGTTGTCTTTCCATAAAAAACAATTCAGTGTTAATAAAACCTCATAGCTTCCTTATTCATCTTACCTTTCCTGGAGAAATGCATAAGTCCTCTTTCTGAATTATCTGTGAACTTGATTTAATAATAAAGCACAATAAATTAAAGGTCAAAAGCTATCTAAAAATAAATGACAGTCAAATGTTACCAGGATGATCTTACTTTTCAATGACATCTGCAATGAACTGGCTAGCCACCTGGGCCTCTTCTCCAGGAGGTCCAGATCGAAATCTCGATGAACACAGAGGTGGTAGATCCACATTAGGAACTGAAAGAAACACTCTGCAGCTATGAACTAAACTTTACCTCTGGTTTGTGGAAGTCTTAAAGATATTCTCAATCCACTGCAAAGGTGATTATAGCCATAGACAGGATTTCCAAAGGTTGTAAAATCAATTATTTCTTTTTTTGGTCTTTGTAAGACTCACAGGCTTAGATAAAATTTACATTTTCCTTTTTTTTTCCCCACAGAAATGCCAAAAAAAGTAAAAAATAAGCATCTATTAAGGAAGGCCTCAATCCTAAATCCTTCAGAAAAATAAGATTTCTACCTCAATCTGTATCAGTAGATAGCCTCTTAAATCCACCTGCCTGCATTTTTAAAATGTTGGTACCTACTATAAAGAACAGATGGTCTGCAGCAAGAAGAATATTCCAGAGTGATATAAATGAGGAACATTTATGGAAATATAAAAGTTTAGGATTACAACACTTTCCTAAGAGATACTATTTTCTTGTTTGATGACCTCTGAATGTATAAACAACTGATCAAAGCTGAAAAATTTGTAAAATTGTCTATTGTGCTATTAGTCTTACATTCTAACAAAATGTTTCAAGAAGGTATTATGCTTCACTCCTAGATATTTCTGAATCTTCTACATTTTCTTCAACTCAACTACTAGGACTGAACTACAATATCATTAAATGTGTTTGAAGTATTTGTATGAAAATAACAGGACCATTTAACTTACCAACATATCCTTTATCAGGGGCATCTGCTGGTGGTGCTGCAAATTCCTATAGAAACAAATACGTTCTATGAAAGAAGCTACTCAATATTTGTGAAGAGAGCTTAGCAATTAGTTATAGAAGCCTTCAGCAAAGACCATCTTAGCTAATTACATCAAGAGCATCTAATATGGGGATCCCTGGGTGGTGCAGCGGTTTGGCGCCTGCCTTTGGCCCAGGGCGTGATCCTGGAGACCCGGGATCGAATCCCACGTCGGGCTCCTGGTGCATGGAGCCTGCTTCTCCCTCTGCCTGTGTCTCTGCCCCTCTCTCTCTATCATAAATAAATAAAAATAAAAAAAAATATTAAAAAAAAAAAAGAGCATCTAATATGCGTAGGGAGTCCCATCAGGCTGTATTTGGACATTGGCTAGATCTGGTCTGCAAAGTAAAAAGGCAGCATAGCTCAGTTGCCTACATTCTAGTGCTACTAACCAAAATTAACGTGGGGGCTCTTTAAAAAAAAAAAAATGAATTTTCTTTCTCTCTTCCTCTCAGTAACAAGCTGAATTTAAACTTAATGTTAATCCTTACACAGCAAGATTTAGGAAGCGATAATGTGGTCAAGAGCAAAAGCCTAGTAATCACTGACCTGGTTCAAATGTCAGACCCACACTTTTTGGCTGAGGAACTTTAGTCAAATCACCTAAACTCTTACCACTCAACTTCCTCATCTGCAAAATGAGAAGTTAATATGACCTACTTTTAGGGACTCTCAATAAGGGTCAAATGAGGTATGTCCTCAGCATAAAAGCTGGCAACAATTAAGTGCTCAGATGTGGATATCACCCCAGCTTTATCACCCTGAGAAAGAATCTGAACTTAGGTTAAGTAATTCACAGTGCAACATAGTGAAAAAAGCAGAAGCTGGAGTCAAAGTTATATCCAAGTTCTAGTTATGGTATATTCCTGGACAAGTTACTGAACTTCATTTAAAACAGAAGGCAGAAAAATTCTACCTCAAATGATTGTTCTCATGATTAAACTGATAATTCTGTAATAAAGCACCCAATTTAAGGTTCTTGGACCATAAAAGGTACTCAGTAAACTGTGGCTATTATTCCCTCAAACTCTTTTGAGCAATCTCAATTTTCTACATTATTTGGACTGATTAAATGTTATCACTGGATAAGAGGATATAAAAAATCTTTCTCCAATAACAAATTCTTAAAAAATTAAAGGTAGTGAGGATTTTAAAAACTTTCATTTCAGCACGTTTGATGCATGTTGACAAGAGTCTTTAGATTTGGGTTTTTAATCTACTTTGTTCTCTACTCAAAGGTGAAAGCTCTTAGGAAATGAAAAGCACTAAAAAAACTGACACATGGCTGCCTAATCAACAGAATTATAGGTGTAAATTATAATAAGTACATGAAAATAATTTGGCAAATCAAATCTTGGTAAGACATATATTAAACCTACCGCTTTAATTCCACAAATTACTGTAGTATTTCCCAGCTTCACTAAAGCGGAACCATCTGCAGTACTAATTGAACCTGAAAAGATAAAAGCGAAATAAACAGTACAGGGAAAGTTTTCATTTTCTACACATGATTTTATCTTGCTATGTATCTCAGTAGCTTATGAAAATTTAGTTCTAACTCAAGTCTTTTTTAAGTGACGTAACTATTTAAAAATTAGTGCTTTAGGAATTATTCACCTGTCCTTGAATTTGAGTTAGTCATTTTCATTCAGTCACAGAACTGTTCTACAGATAACAATCTCTTGACAAAACATTACTGGATTCCTTTAGATATAGTAGAATTTGGCTGAAATATGTTTAAATGGCTCAGGCTAAAACTCAGGAATATCATACAAGTTAAACTGGAAAATTCTGTGTTTCCAACAGAAAGTTTAATAAGACATAAAAAAAAAATACATATCTTGGAGGCTTTGAAGAAAGAAGGGATAAAACACTACTGTTACTTCAAAATTTAAAAGAAGAACATACCAATTGACACAAAGGTGAGTTTTAAAAACCACCAAAAAGAATACTTCTATTTAAAAAAAAAAAAAAAAAAAAGAGGGATGCCTGGTTGGCTCAGTAGTTGAGCGTCTGCCTTTGGCTCAGGGCGTGATCCTGAGGTTCTGGGATGGAGTTCTGAGGTGGGCTCCCAAGCAGGGAGCCGGCGTCTCCCTCTGCCTATGTCAACTGCCTCTCTATGTCTCATGAATAAATAAAAAGCTTTAAAAACAGAAAAATTCTGAAGCAACTTCAATAACCTATTTTAGAACTCAAAATATCCTTACCTATGTTGACAGTTGTGGTTCTGAATTCACCAAGTTCTCTTCCATCAGGACGGCAGTTCTCTTTCTAAATAAACATTTACATGAAAATGGATTACATTTATACTTTACACACACCAGAGAAAAACACATTAAACCTCGTTAATTCACATAATTTGAAAAGATGCACGTGATACTGTTATCAAAAGGTACAATACACATAACCACCTTTACTCACCAAAAATCTCCTGTAATACTCCAGAGGTTCCACAGTTCTGAAACATGTTAAAAACGGATGAGGTAAGTTAGTACATCTTAACATAAATCCAGAAACTGGCAAAGATCTTAGGAGTGTGAGGATGCAGCATAAATTTCCCCAATTTGTAACTTCCTTTCATGAATTCTGATGTTTATGCTGCCCCATACAACTATTAAAAGGTGCTCTTGCAGTCGTAATCAGACTCCACTGCTGTCCTTAACGCTACCTTAAACAAATACAGGCTGGAGCCCGGAGCCTTTGGACATCTTTGGAAGAATTAATCCAATTATTACAAAATAATGATGTCACTTTTGCTCTGAAGCAGGGATTACCGCAACATGAGGAAAAATTACATCTTTATTTTCACTGTCCTGTAACTGAAACTTAGCATATTCTTTAATTATGACCAAGGGAAGAAGCCTTTATATTAGAACCTGCAACTTTTAACAACCACAGAGATTAAATGTTTTCGTTTTACTTTATAGTTGGCGAAGGTTACGTGCAGACGCGTTACTCTGGAATTCAGGAGTTAACTGGACTCCCCACTAGCTAGAGCTTGTTTAAGAATGTTAATTTTAAAAGGAGCACATATATATCACTGTTATCAATAACTCGAGAGTTTATGCAAATAGATAACTGCGTCAATACGACGGTCTTCCCGTGGAATCTTATGTAGTTTACCCAATGAAAAATTTGTGAGGACAAAAATTTACAGGCTTCCCCAGAGTGGCACCAAAAAAAGGCTCAAGTAAAACCTTCCCAACAAGGCACAATCCTTTTAGAAGGAAGTCAGGGAGAGGGAGAAGAGAGCGGCACGTGGTTCTGCTAGAACGCCTATGAGAAGGCTACGACGCGGTCTCCGGGGCCCGCACGGCCACCACACAAGCACCACACAAGCTCCACACAAGCCAGCGGCGCTCGCCTCGGTCCTGAGCTCCGCACACGGTCCCTTCCGTCTTCCGTCTGACTGCGGAGAGAAAGCCCCCGCTCCTTTCACCACGACCACCTCCAGGTCCTTCTGCCCGTCGCCTACTGCCGTGAGGGAAACAAACGGGAATCTGGCAGGGTGGCCTCCAGGTGAAAAAAAATCCCAGCGAAGGGTTAAAGTAAGCCTCCAACCGCCAGAGTACAAACACGCGCCCGCCGGCCGCCCACACTCACTTGAACCCGGCCGCCATCTTCCCGCCCGCGCGCGTGCGCCTGCGCCAGGCGAGGCCGCGCCCCCGGGCCGCGCGCCTACCCCGCCTCCAAACTTTCGACAGACGCGCCTGCGCCCTCCGTCCGCTGCTGCGGAGGCCGAGGGCTGGTCGCCGCGAGGGGGGGGGGGGGGTCTCGTTCCACCTCCGCTCGGAGGAGCCCAGCGCGCCTCTAGGCTTCTTTGCCTTGGACGCGCTTTGTTGAATCTGCTCTTGCGAAAGAGACGGGTGTGTCTCTTTAGAAAAACGGTATGGTAGTTCAGGAGTTTAAGGGAAAACCGACCTTATTGCCAAGAATTGAGTGAGTATCAAGTGTGGGGCGTTATTCCAAAGTTCCTGCGTCCTTTTCCCGCCTCTGTCTCAGGCTGGGCCCTGGGCGTGCCTCACCCCAAGGGAAGGGCTCCCTGCTCCAGTTGCTGAGGAATCACGTAAACTTCCTGTGCGCTGCTGGTCCGCACCGGGGTACACTTGGCGGATCCCCGGAGCGGGCTCCTAAGGAGCAGCCTGTGCTGTGGGCTGTGTTTGTTCTCAAAGCCGTCACCTCCCTCCTAGGTAGGTTCGCCAGACAGAATACAGAACATCCAATTAATTCTTAATGTCAGATAAACAAGTTAATTTTTCCCCACTATGACTATACCCCAAATAGTACACGTTATTAGTTGTTACGGGGCGGGGGGCGGGGGCGGCTGGGAGCGAAGAATGTTTCAGAAATAGATAATGGGTGCAGAAAATTGTGAATGTGACCAATACCACCGTATTGTACCCTTAAAATGGTTAAAATGGCAAATTTTATGCTGTCTCAGTTTATAAAGACTCACGTAATACAATAAAACCTTTTTAACGGGTGGATTGTATGGTGCGTGAATCCTGTTTTAACACGGCTGTCGAAAAACCGTTCACTGCCTACCTGAAATTCAGATTAAGTGGAATCCTGTGTGTGTCCTCGCCGATTCTGTCAACCCTGCGGGGAACCCGGCGCCGGCGCCTGCGCCTGCGCCTGCGCGCGAGCCTGGCCGCCGGGGACGGCGTGTGCGCCGCCTCGCCGCGAGGGGCGCTGTGGGCGGCGGGCGCCGGGCGGGCTCGGCCGCTCGCCGGCGGGAGGCGGAGCTGCGCGGCCGCGCTTCCGCGTGTGTGTAGGTGCTGGCGAGGGCGCGCGGCGGCCGGGCATGGACGATGATTGCGCTCCTGCTGCAGCTGGCTGTGCTCGGCGTGGCGCTGGCGGCCGCCGCCCTGACACTGGTGAGGAGAGGGCTGGGGACCGACGCGGGCCTGGGCCCAGTCCTCTCAGAGACTCGGCCGCCACGCATCCTGTCCTCTGCCCCGCACACTTCGACGTGTCCCTTTCCCCCCACGCGCTCCCCCGAAACTTGACTCCGGGATTTCCTCTCCTAGAACTTCGCAGCCCCTTTCTTCCCTTCTTTGTCTTTATTTTGGAGCGTTACCTCCCTCTGCGGCCAGGCCCTTGTAACGTTCGTGCCCCGGGGTCGTGCGCACCCGTCAGCCTCCACCGGCCCCCTAGTCCCCGCTCTCTGCCCACCCGCCCCGTCAGTCCCGACCTCTCCGCCCCTTCCTCCTGCGTCTGCAGCCTGTGCAGTTCCGGCTGCACCCGGGAAGGTCTCGAGCCCCCCCAGGAGGTTTGCGCTCCCTGGCCTGGCCCTCCTGATGTGGGGAAGCGACTAGAAGGTGGTGACAGCTTTGGCGAGAGCCATCTGCTAGAGATTGGGGTGAATCAGTGGATCAAGAAGACCCAGGAGGGACACAGGCCTGCTGTTAGCGTTGTCTGGCAGTCCTTAGGTCCCAGGATTGAACACCCTGAATTCGCTGCCTCTAAAGGAGGGTACAATAGAATTGAGACTCGGATTTTCTTTGCCATCACTCTGGAAACAGACATTGTAAGCACTTGCTGATTCGTTCGTAATGGTTTGCCAAGTGAGCTTTCTCCCTTATAATTTGGAACGAGCCTGCCATCCAGTTAGTACATGGAGAGGTTCCAGCTTCCCTGACACCCACATTAGCCCCCCTGACAGCACTGCTGGGAAGGCCGTTCTTCCGCCTTGCCAGGTTTGCAAACTCACAGTTCAGAAATAACTTAATAGAGAAAAAGCAACGTGTCCTGACTTCTTCGGTGATTTGTGTCGGGGTAAGAAAGGAGTCCTCTCTCTCCCTTAGGGGCAGATGGAGATTTCAAGGTTTTTTCAGGTTTTTGGTGGGGGCAGAGTTTTGACAGAATCCTAAATTGACTCTGTTTATTTGATCTATCTGTTTTATAGGATTAAATGGGTGCATTTTGAGGGTGAACTGGAAGTATTTGATCCTACCAGCTTGTGATTATAAGAGCTACTATTTAGGGCACCTGGGTGGTTCAGCAGTTGAGCATCTGTCTTGGGCTCAGGTGGTGATCTCGGGGTCCTGGGATCGAGTCCCACATTGGGCTTCCCGCAGGGAGGCAGCTTCTCCCTCTGCTTATGTCTCTCTGCCTTTCTCTTTGTCTCTCATGAATAAATGAAAATAAAATAATTTTTTAAAAAGCTAACATTTATAGAGGACTTATAATTTGGGGGTATTGTATTCAATGTTTTATGTTGTGTGATCTTTAAAACAATGCTAAATGAATGTTGTCATCATTAGCCAGGGGTTGGAGATTCAGGGCATCTTAGAGTGGATTGCACTTCTCTGGTGACTATTCCCTATTAAATCTGGGATGACAGAGGCCTAGGGATGACAGGTGGGAAGACACAGCTCCTAAGGCATTAGTTCCTACCAATGGAAGAAGGACAATTATTAGTTCATAAGTAAGGGATTTGAATTTGGTGTCACCTCCAGACCATTCTTAATGGACTAAAAACTGAGAGTGAACATTTAACAACAACAACAAAAATCACATAAATGATGTAATCTTGCATAATATAGTTTCTTGTTAACATACCTACTTTTAGATTTCCTTTGTTGCATTTATAACTGCTACAAAAATGCCACATCTCCATCAACATGAAGAGGAGAAGTTCTTCTTAAATGCCAAAGGACAGAAGGAAACTTTGCCCAGCGTTTGGGACTCGCCTACCAAACAGCTCTCCGTTGTTGTGCCTTCATACAATGAAGAAAAACGGTGTAAGCCCAATTTCATTTTTGGGATATGGGGCCATTGGGAAGAAAAGGAAATTTAAAGTATGAACTTTACTATCTTTGTGAGAACATTAGTAGATGTGGGCTCTGATGAGTGCATAGTTGGTAGTTGTAGTTCATGAGAGCGGAAACAAATGCCAGCTATAAAGAATACGGTCAGCATCATGAAGTCATAGGACTGAAGTGTTCTAGAGAGACATTAAGCTAGTTGTGGACAGAAAACAGGCCTTCTAGTTGGGAAGGGCCACTGTAAGAGGTCCGAGAGGGCTCTGTTAGACTATTCAGACTTTTTCCATATGTAAACTGAGTGGGGGCTTGGCAAATCATTTTTGAAAACAATTTTTCAGACATGTATTTTTTTTTTCTTTAAGTGCCTGTAATGATGGATGAAGCTTTGGGCTATCTGGAAAAGAGACAGGTACCACATTTCTCTTTCAATATGATGTCCCTAGTTAAAACTAGACTAAATCACCAATTTAGAGATCCCAGGCTAGATCTGCTGTGAGAGGCAGTGCCAGCCATGCCCAAGCCGTCGAGGTCACCGGGCCTCCTGTGCTCAGCTTGTCCCCTTCCATCACGGGTTAGCATGCAAGCCCAGCACATGACACGCTACCTCCAGACGCACGCAGGTGGGTGAACCCAGAACAAACGGAAAGCAGAAATTTCTTATGTACCCTCCCAAACACTTTGTATGCTCTTGCCTGATGATATATTTAAAATTGAGTATGTCTGCAGACTGTATGGCAACACGATGCTGTTTTTACTTTAGTGACTTTTTAAAACATTTATTTGAAAAAGACTTAGAGTGAAATTGTTTTTCTTTATTATTCAGAGGAGTTCCACTCATTTATTTTCTCTACTTTCCCTGCATAAATAGAAGAAAAATAGTATGTGTCCTTGTTTTGTACCATCATCAGCTGCTGGAATCTTCTTGGAGAGTTTAAGGAAACAAAATGAGCTTTGTGGCTGGTCCTTTTTTTTTTTTTTTTGGTCTGGGGGTGTTTTTAAATGAGAAAACAGACTAAAACTCTAACTCATCCAAGATCATAAGGTTAGAAATAGTGTGACCAGGTTAGAATTGCACATTCTAACCTCATGGGCTTTTTTTCTCATACATATTTGTATCCTCTCTCATAAGTGCTCAGCACCACAAGCACCTGGCTACTCCACAGATTTGGTGTGGGTGGGCAGCCAAGGGGGGAGCAAGAGACTCCCAAAGGGTCGGTGTTTGCCCTCTCCTCCTGTCCCACCACTCTCCTCCTTTTAGTTGTTGGCCTTTTTATTTTATGTGGTTTGCATATTTATTTATATTCATGTTAATATGCATCACACTAAAACAATTGTTATTTAAACTCCTTACAATTTTATCAGAATTCTTGACGCCACTTATGCCAAATTGTGGTGTTTTATTTTTGCTTCTTGCAGAAGCAAGATCCTACGTTCACTTATGAGGTGATAGTAGTTGATGATGGCAGCAAAGACCAGACTTCAAAAGTAAGTAAACTTGCTTTTAGGATTGCTACTAGGTAGAAAAAAAAATAGAATAATTTGCAGTTGTTAAGTCTTACTTCCACTCATCAGAGAATGCTAAAGCTGTGTCAGCACCCTCTACTTTACAGCGTGAGTAGCCAAAACAGAAATTTCATCAATGGAAAGCTGGAAAATATACCTGCTGTTTCCTCACTCCTTAAGACCAGGGAAGCTTTGAAGATCACCAAGTCAGGAGAAAACATGCACAACAATTCACCATGGCCACTGGGAACCTTCTTTGCCTATCAATATTTGGTTCCTTTTTCCTAAACACAATTTTTTTTCCTTATGCTCCACCTTGCCTTACAGTTTCTAAAGTAATGTGCAAATATAGGATGCCTTCATATCTGGCACTGGGGATCAGATATGTTCTTTAGCATACTTCCATCCAGATTTACCTATGGAAGGTAACAAGTGTCTTAGAGTATCATCCTCTCACATTCTTGCGTCCTTAGTCCTATAGCTACTGAGCTGCTAGAAAAAAATAAAAGCTGGTCTGTCAGGAATGCAAACACCAGATGAGAATAATGTCACATTCCCTATAGAAATTAGGGTCCAAAGGAGAAAGTTATTGGGTGCCTGGCTGCCTCAGTCAGCAGAGCATGTGACTCTTGATCTTAGAGTGTGAGTTTAAGCCCCACATTGAGCATGGGGCCTACTTAAAAAAAGGGGGGGGGGAGTAGGACGCCTGGGTCGCTCAGTTGGTTAAGCATCCAGCTCTTGATCTCAGTTCAGGTCTTGATCTCAGGGTTGTGAGTTCAAGCCCCGTGTTGGGCTCCACACTGGGTGTGGAACCTACATAAAAATAAAATAAAATAAAAAATAAAGAGAGAAAGAGGGTGCTGTTGATGAAGAGAGATAATATAATATAGAAAAGCAATGTGGAAAAGCAAAGGGTATGGACCATAGTACAGTGGACTGATGACTGAGTGCTGAAGAGATGTACACAGCAAATACGTATCACTGTTTCATGGCTTTGAATATAAATCAAAAAGTACTGGCAGAGATGCCTGGGTGTCTCTGTGGGTTAAGCATCCGACTCGGTTTCAGCTCAGGTCATGATCTCAGGGTCGTGAGATGGAGACCCACATCAGTATATATACTCAATGGAAAGTCTGCTTCCTCTCTCCCTCTGCTCCTCCCCCCTGCTCACGCACTCTCTCTCAAATAATCTTTAACTGATTCTTTTTTTTTTTTTTTTTTTTAAGATTTTAGTGATTTATTTGACAGAGCACACAAGCAGGGACTGCAGCAGAGGGAGAGGGAAAAGCAGGCACCCCACTGAACCCTGGGATCATGACCTGAGCCAAAGGTAGACGCTTAGTGGACTGAGCCATGTAGGCATCCCCAAATAATCTTAAGTAATAATAATGATAATAATAATGGCAGTTGAGTGAAAAGATTTGGGGAAAATGGTCTAAGATATGAACAACTCTGGGGAATAAGATCAGTTGCTGACAAGTAAGCAGGTGGCAATCACAAGTGTGTATCTGTCAGCGCATGGATTTTATTTTCTCTAGCAACTCATTAGCTTAAATAAAAGAGTCAGAATAAGACAGAGCCACTGCCTAATCTGGTTGGGACCTCTACAGGGAAATGAATTGTGATTTCAACTTGGAGAGTCATTGTTGGTTCTTGGCACCAGGAATTCAACAACTCTGGACATTAAAGTGTACAGTAAGTATAATCTAGTTACAAGAAGAAGGCAACTGAAATAGCAATATTTAAGTCAAACTCAGAAACCCAGTTTATGTTACTGTCTTGGAATCCAAGTTAATATTATTCTGACTTTTATATAATTTGACAGGTAGCTTTTAAATATTGCCAGAAGTATGGAAGTGACAAGGTACGAGTGATAACACTGGTGAAGAATCGTGGGAAAGGCGGAGCTATTAGGATGGTAATGCATAATTTTGACATTTTTATCTAAAATATAAACATTTTGGGGGATCCCTGGGTGGCTCAGTGGTTTAGTGTCTGCCTTCAGCCCAGGGCGTGGTCCCGGAGTCCCGGGATTGAGTCCCGCATCTTCTCCCTCTGCCTGTCTCTCTCTCTCTCTCTCTCTCTCTCTTTCTCTCTCTCTGTGTGTGTGTCTTTCATGAATAAATAAATTTAAAAAAAAACCTTAAAATATGAACATTTTTTAATGACTTCTTTTGCAGACTATAGTACGTTTGTATTCTATAGCTGGCTAGTTGAATACTACCCTTTGAAGTTAGTGGTAAATTAGTTTTAATAAGAACTTCATACACTTATGTATATATAACATCAAATCTTAAAAACTATACCATATTTATAACATACTGGGTAATTCAGGAGAATAGGCTTATCTAAATCAAAGTTTAAAATGTTACCATGTTCCTTTGTGTGTCTTTGATATAGTCATTGGATAATAAGGTTAAATGATTTTTTTGGCAGTTTATAAAATCTGATGTGGGTCTATCCTGATGAAATTTGTGGTCTACTAGAAAAAATGATTGTACTTATAAAAAGTACATATGAAGTGCTATAGAAATTCTAAAAGGAATAGATTACTTTCAGAGTCAAGATATTTGGAAGAAAAACCACAAATCAAGATAGTTAATGTGAAAGAAAATGCAGAGTGCCTTAAATGATTTAGAGGTTTATTTTATGCCCTCCACCCCCGCCCCCGCCCTACCCCCAATTGAAGAAAGTCTAAGTATTGGCAGCGCAGGCCTTGTTCAGCAATTCCATGGTGTTACCAGAAACCCTGCTGCCTAACTTTGCACTCCTTCTTCCTCATGCATACAGGATGACTCCTGGAGTGTCCGCATTCCAGACAGGAAGGAGCAGGACAGAGGCAGAAGATCTATGCTGGCTGATTTGGCCCCTTTTAGAGAGCTTTCCTAGAAGCTCTACCCAATGACTTAATTCTCATTGGCCAGAATAATGTCACAAGGCCACCCCTATTTCCAAGGGTGGCCGAGAAATGTTTCTTCTAACATTTCCATTCCTGACCTAATCAGAGATCCATTAATAAAAAAGAAGGAAAGAATAGATATTGAGTAAGTAACTAGCAGTCTCAGGCCTGTGTTAGGAGACTTAACAGAGTAGAAATCACTGAAGTCAAGCCTCCCACAGTGATGAACACTGGCTTCCACTTGGTTATTCCACTCAGTTGGTTATTTTGAGTCAATTAACCACTTCAGCATAATTATCACATTTAATCCATCCTTATGTTGTCTCGTGAGTTAGGTCCTATTATTTCAATTACTGGATGAGGGAAGTGATGTTTAGGTAGGTAAAGTAACTTACCCAAGGTCACATAGTTACTAATAACAGGTAGAATGAAGATTTAGATTAGGTTAGTATCTTGAAATCCATGCTCTTAAACGAATCTTGCTGATAGTATGCGGGAAAAGTTGAGAGAAGAGCATGCCAAAGTAAGAAAAGACAGAAGTCAGAACTCTTAGAGTATGTATCGGGAGCAGTGAGTTTGCTCTGACTGGAGCATAGGATATGCAAAAAGGAGAAAAAGAAAATAGATACAGTACCATGATGGCCTTTGAATCCATCCATTCACTTAATTATTCAGCCTAATATTAGTGTCTACAACTTTATTAGAGGTACTTAAATGAAGAATAACCAGAGCACCTAGGTGGCTTAGCCAGTTGAGTGTCCAACTCTTGGTTTTGGCTCAGGTCGTGATCTCATGGGTCTTGAATTGAGACCCACATTAAGCCCCACATGGGGCTCAGCAGGGAGTTGGCTTGAAGATTGCTTTCTCTGCCCCTATCCCCACTTGCATGTGCATATTCTTTCTCTCTTTCTCTATCTCTCTCACAAATAAATAAATGAAAGACAGATAACCATCCTATCCTTAAGGATATCATAGTTTAGTAGTGTTGTAAACGTAGTAATAGAAGTATATGCAGAATATTGGCACCACCTTCCGTCTGGGAGGAGCAGCAGCAGAGACTTCCCATAAGAGGTAAATTCTCCACTGGATCTTCAAGGAAGACTAGGAATTACCCAGGCAAAAGTTGGGGTAGGGAGCTTGCAGAGGAGGGACATGACCAAAGATAGGAAAGAAAGTATCACAATGAGGAACTGTTAGTGGTACATGTGGTTGGCTTTATAGGGAAAAGGTCAGAGGGTTAGATGGGTTCAGATCCTGAACTTTTAGGTTAGGAACTTTCAGACTTTTGACAGAGTGACAGCAGCCAGTGCAGTAGTATAAGCAAGGTACAGTAAATTATTATTTGGATCATGATGGTGACACAGCAGAAGAGGAGAGGACAAATGTGGAGGGGAAGTGGATTAAAAATGAGATAGAATTGTATCAGGTGCTCAGGGAGAGGAATAATTTATGGCCTTGGGTGACTGAGAGGAGGAGGATGTCATTTATAGAAGGAATGAAACACTGCAGAAGGAGCTGGTTTAAAAGACAGTATCTTTGGGGAGCCTGGGTGGCTCAGGTCGTGATCCCAGGATCCTGGGATCCAGCTCCATGTCAGGCTCCCTGCTCTGTGGTGAGCCTGCTTCTCCCTGTCCTTCTGCCTGCCACTTCCCCTGCTTGTGCACTCTCTCTCTGTGTCAAATAAATAAATAAAATCTTAAATAAAAGACAGTATCTTTAATTGAGGTTGAGCCATATTAAGTTTGAGATACCAACTAGTTGTATCCAGAGTAGCCTGGTAGTGAGTGTGAGTGAATAATCCACGTGCATCAGATGATAGTTGAACCATTAGGTTGGCAAGGAAAAAGGTAGAGAGAAAAAAGACAGCCAGAAACCAAGCTTTGGGCAAATGAAGCACATAAGGAAGAACAGTCCAAGCAGTGAGAGAGGATAGGGTGTGATTGAATGGATAAAGATGGGAGGCATTAACATAGACTGTTTTCAACAAGTTTGGCAGTGAAGTGAAGGCCATCATTGGTAGAATGGAGAGCAGTCATTAAAGACCCTCCTTTAAAAATAATAATAAAGTGGCTTAAGTAAGATCAAAAGCGAAAGGCATTTTTCCATAATGCTCAATAATTAACCTCCAACTCACCCTCAACATGTATCACTGAAATAATCCTTTGGTTTTTAGGGTTGGGTAGTTTTGTTTTTTGTGTTTTTGGCTTTTTGTCTAGATGTTAAATAAAACATTTTTATTCTGCCTTTTTTACCTGCATTCTAATTGATATGATTAAAAAAATTACAGAAACTAATTAGTGGGTTTATCCCTTAGAATAAACGATTAAAGTTTTGTCTACATTTGTATATATCTTATCTATATTCATACTGTTAAGTGACATCACGAACTGTATTCTTTATCAAACCATACATATGTTTATACTTAAGAAACAATGAATTCACTCAAATGGACCATGAATTAAGAGTTGATATATAATTTATTACCATGTAAAATACACACTCATAGAGCCCGATTTTGCACAAAAGACCAGGGAAAAAGTCAGTTCAATATTGAGAGGTGTAATTTTGCTAAGTATCAGATTCCTCAAATAACATAAAATAGTATTTGGATATATCCACATTTCCCAAATTTTAGTGACATTCCATATTTCCTTATTTAGTAATTATTTTAAACTACTTTAGATTCCAGGGATGCCTGAGTAGCTTAGTCTGTTAAATGTCTGCCTTTGGCTCAAGTCATGATCTCAGGGTCCTGGGATCGAGCCCCACATTGGGCTCCCTGCTCAGCACAGAATCTGCTTCTCCCTCTGCCCCTTCCCCCTGCTCATGCTCGCTCGCTTGCTCTCTCAAATAAATAAATAAAATCTTAAAAAAAACTAATTTCCATATAAACAAATACTAAAGATCTATCATCTTAGGATGTGTTTCACAGCAAATTTGTATATGTTTGTGCAACCCAGCCATAAATATGTTCTTCAGATGCTGCCCTAAAATAGATACATAGACAATACATACATAATATATATTTTATGGTTTTTGTTCTTATTGATATAGGATATCTTTTATTTGTCCAAATCTATTTTCTTAGCATATTTTACAAAGTATTAGTGGTATTATCTCACAGTTTTTAAAATCATTAAATAGGCATTAGATGCATTTGGAAGAATCTTATCAATATAATGGGTTTCCAGGGAACTTTGATCTCCTTAGGCCATTTCACACCTAATATTAGGTATTAGACTGTCTAACATTAGCTATTTTAAGTAAAGCAAAACAAATTTAACCTTAATTTTAAGCGACTTTCTTTTAATTGAAATGTTTAAATACAGGGTATATTCAGTTCTCGAGGAGAAAAGATCCTTATGGCAGATGCTGATGGAGCCACACAGTTTCCAGATATTGAGAAATTAGAAAAGGGACTGAATGATCTACAGCCTTGGCCTGTGAGTATAAGATATAGATTAAATGATCTTCAATCAAGAAAACAGGTAGTCTTAACATGAAAATGGGATTTACATACAAGTTTAAAAAATTGGTGCTTTTTTGGTGTGAAATTCCTGTACAGAAATTCCTCCACAGAAAAGCTAATCATTTTATTATAAACACTTACTGATGATCTGAGATTTACTTGACAATTATTTATTTAACATTCTAGCTAGCCATCTCTCTCAATTTTCAGTCACTTCTACCAGAGTTTTAATGTTTATTATATATATTCAGCTTAGGCTTTTATTTAAAAGCATAGACCGGACCTCCCAAGTAAAGATGTGAAATGAAACTGGATCACACTATGCTTGTTTTTGATGAAACGAACCCAAGCACCAACCACTCAGAAAAGATTATATGCAACTTCATGCAATAATTTCAGAAAATGGAGATTGACTTTGACTCAGCATAATGCATTTGAGATTCATCCATACTGCTGTCTTTGTATGAGAGTATGACGTTTGTTTATCCATTCAATGTTGAAGGGCATTCGGGTTATTTCCAGGATTGAACAATTAGGCATAAAGTCTATATCAACATTTTTCTTTAAAAAAAATTTTTTTTTTTTTTTTTTTGCTTAAAAAAGTGGAAGTTGAGGAAAGAAAAATCCTGGTGCCGTTTCCACTTTTTTTTTTTTTTAAGATTATTTATTTATTCATGAGAGACACACAGAGAGAGAGAGAGAGGCAGAGATACAGGCAGAGGGAGAAACAGGCTCCATGCAGGGAGCCTGATGTGGGACTTGATCCTGGGTCTCCAGGATCAGGATCAGGCCCTGAGCTGAAGGCGGCGCCAAACCGCTGAGCCTCCTGGACTGCCTGCCATTTCCACTTTTTAAAGCCCATTTAGAATAGACAAATTTACCAGATTCTGAGCTTTTTACCAAATAATTCCAACCTGGAGAGAATCAGACTGAGAGAATGAGTAAGCACCATTGGAGAACATTAAATATTACACCTACCTATCATCACATAGTATTTCAGAATTTCAACAGAAGCAAGAAAAATTGCTAGAGCTTGCTATTTTCAGGGTTTCAGGCTGAGTTTAGGGCACAGATCCATGTTGATTAAATCTATTCTCAGTGACATGTATCCTTGTATAGGACATGACAAAATCTCACAACAGCAAGGAACCCAAATACCCCAACAAAGCTTTATTGAACTTTAGATGTGGTCCCTCCCTCCCCCAGGTATAATATTCAGGCCTTGAGTCTCTAGTTCAGAGAGGACAAACAGGGTCTACAAAAGGTAAAAGTTCAAGTTACCCCTGCTATCCAAAAGTAGAACATTCTCATTCCTAAACCAAATGGCATAAAGCAAAGAAGCAATTGCCATCAATTTACATGGCAAGTTCTTTGAGTGTTCCTAGACCCAAAAAATAACCTCTCTCAGGCTTTTCTGACACCTTAAGACACATCTTGCTAACAGATACACAAAGTAAATCAAGATAAAGCAGACATGGGCAGCCCGGGTGGCCCAGCCGTTTGGCGCCGCCTTCGGCCTGGGGTGTGATCCTGGAGACGCGGGATAGAGTCCCACGTTGGGCTCCCTGCATGGAACCTGCTTCTCCCTCGCCTGTGTCTCTGCCTCTGCCTCTCTCTCTCTCTCTCTCTGTCTGTCTCTCATGAATGAATGAATGAATGAAGAAATAAATAAATAAATAAATAAATAAATAAATCTATCTTAAAAAAAAAAAAGATAAAGTAGACATGCTTACAGACACCATTCAAAGCAGTGGCAGCTTGCCGCTGAAATGCTGAGTGTAGTTCTGGGAAGGGAGCTTACCAGGGTGGCTCTCTGCTCAGTGCACTGCCTAACAGTTTGCCACAAAGCAAATGTGGAACACTATTTGTGCTTTCTGGTGTTTGTTTTTGTAAAAGCGAAAATCCTCTTTATGTCTCTTTCATTTAGCAAGAGCAGGTACTAATGTTGGTCTTTTGTAAAAGCTGTGTGGCCTAACGTGAATTTTTGAAGACTAGGGGATACCTGTATATCAAGGAGAATTCCTTCTGCTGTACAAGAGCCACCTGTGTTAGTCACAACAAAACACTGACATGTTACCGTAGAAAAAGAACTGAAGTTTCATACAAAAGAAAGACTCCAAATGAAACCCAATATAATCCAAGAAACAGTATAAAATTGTATGAAAGTATTTTTGCTGAAGAAATAATGAAGATAATTCAACACAGGCATTTAAAGGAGGGATGACAGAACAACAGAATGGTATTAAAAGAGAAATTACAGAAGCCAAGAAACAAATTGAAGGCCAACATAAGGTCAATGAATAGGACTATCCATGAATGAAATAGTTATTCATGAATAATTTAGAACTAATTATTGTTAGATTTGTTAAAATAATACCTGTTTATTATAGCAAAAACTGAGCAATAAAAAAAGCAAAACACCCAAAAGCAGAAAATTTAATAATTAAAAAACCTCACCTCCTTCCTAGAAATAATCATATATTTATTTAATTTCATGGCTTTTTACAAGTGTTCCCTTTCTCTTTCTACCACCACCCACCTCTCTTTTCTGTCTAGCAGTTTTTCTTTAAAGACACTAAATGGGGCACCTGGGTGGCTCATTCAGTTCAACATCTGCCTTTGGCTCAGGTTATGATCCCAGGGTCTTGGGATTAAGCCCCACATCTGGCTCCCTGCTCAATGGAGAGCCTACTTCTCCCTCGGCCCCACACCCTTGCGCGCATGCACGCACTCTCCCTCTTCATTCCCTCTCAAATAAATAAAATCTTTTTTTTTAAAAAAAAAGACACTAAATGAATTAACTAATATAATTCTTAAAAGAATTCTCTCTGAAAATATCCCTTTTACCCGTGCTCTTCAAAGCAGCGACTACCGGGGCACCTTGGTGGTTTAGTGGGTTAAGCATCTACCTTCAGCTCAGGTCATGATCCCAGGGTCATGGGATTGAGCTCTGTGTCAGGTTCCCTGCTCATCGGGAAGTCTACTTCTCCTTCTCGCTCTTGCTCTCTCTCTCAAATAAATACTCTTAAAAAAAAAAAAAGTAGCTACCTGCCACATATGGCTATTTAAATTTAAATTAATCAAAATTAAATAAAATTTTAGTTCCTTACTAACTTTTAAATATTCTCTCTGGCCACATTTCAAATGCCTGTGGCTAGTAGCTGTCTTATTGGCTAACACAGATATAAAGCATTTGCATCACCACAAAGTTATGTTGGAGATTACTACTTTATATTATATAATATGAAGTTATTATTGGATATGTTACATATTCACTCTTACTAAAAAAATATTTCTTCTTCCACCTCTTAGTGAATCATGATATGCTAAAAGAAAATCTAACTAGTACAATTGTTGGGCTTGATATTCTAGTTCTTCCCAGAGAACCCACAAAGATTATCAATATTTCTTCTGCATTATGCCTCTGGCTTAGGGGAGCCATGAGTAGGAGGAGGGTGGAAGATGTCAGATTGTTTGCAGCTGACTTTATGTCAAGGGCAAAGAAAAATTAAATGATGTAGCCAAAGTTATAGGGTAAACCAAACAATAAACAGGAGAAAAATCTGAACTTTCTTGTGAATCTAATTTCCTTTATACAACTCTGTAAGGGAAAGAAGTTCTGATGCCATCTTTTTTCCTTATCATAATCTAATTTACTGCCTTTTACTGTAAATGTTGAGTTATAAAGAACTAAAGCATTTGATTATGATTAAACATTAATTTACAGCCTTGGTCTACAGCACCTTAAGGTATGCCTAATTATTTAAGAGTATCATGACTCATTTGAATGAATTTGAACTCAGTTTGTTGAGAATTTTTATATGCATCATATAACTCTTTGAAGGAGGTGGGAAGGATGCACATAAGTGATAGTTAAAGTTACAAAATCCATTGTGGATCAACTCAGTAATAATTATTTTTGAATTGGGACCACTGTCTACTCATCATCCTTAGAAAGCCTTAAATAGCCAGTTATTGCTCTCAGAAGACTTGCACTACGAAGCTAACATTGACAGAGGAAATAGAAGAAATCTTCTTAATTATCTAATTCAGATAGTGGCAAACTTTTTCTGTAAAGGGCCACAGAGTAAAGATTTTCAGTTTTAAAGCCATATAGTCTCTGTTGCAACTACTCAAACTGGTTGTAGCACAAAAGCAGACATAGATTATACATAACTGAATGACCATGCCTATGTTCCAATAAAAATTTATTCACAAAACCAAGCAGCAGGCCAGATTTGGGCCATGGGCTATAGATTACAGACCTTTGGTCAAATTCAATCATTTATCCAGTACTGGAAACTTTTTATAACTACCCAGTGATCTTTCAGTCTCTGCTTGCATAGCTGTAGTAGAACCCAAACAGCCCATCCATCTCAGTAACAAAGTTCCTCTTTACGGTAAATGCAAAAATGCCTCCTTTTAATCACTCCCTTTTAATCACTCCAGAATCCCTTTGGTTGGTTCTGTTTTTTAGAGCTGTACTTTTTTTGTAACGGCCCTTTAGGCAGTTAAAGCTGCTTTCCGTGTGTCTTTATTTTAGGCTGTCAATAGTTCTTTCAGCTTATAAAGCAGCGTATTTCTTTTTCTTATCCTGATCATTTTTCCCTAAAGATGCTTCAGTTAGTGTGGATCTGGTTAGCACATTTACATAGCTACCACATATGACCAACTCTTTTGGATGCATTGCCATTGCACCTTGTCTCCTCAGTCCTCCAGCTGGCACAAACACATCCTCAAACTATGTATCTTTTGCCTTGGTTTATTTAGGAATGGAAGTGTGACTGTATTAAACGTTACCATGGTCGATTTCCATTTCTCAAGGTGTAGGAGTCTTTTTCTATCTTTTATGCAATTGCCATTCCATTCTCAATTCATTTAAGTCACAAATTTGATAAGCATGGCTTATATATATTTCCTTAAGACCTAATAAAAGTTGACTAGAACCATTCTGAAAATAGTGAAACAAGAACG